TGGCACCACAGTTTCAGTACAGCAGCCAACGGAAAGTCAGGTCATGTTGTGCCTCTGCTCAAAGGACTCTAAACTTTGCTGTTTTCCTTATCACAGGCCTGACTGTGACCTCTAGGCTTGGATGATCTGTCCTCTCACCATCTTTCTTATCCTGTCTCTAGAAGCACTTCCCTCCCTGATCTGTCCACTGTGGCAGTCTGTCTCCTTGCTTCTCTGACACATCTTTTAGGGTCTTCATGATTGCTCTTCCCTCGTCCGGAATGGTCTTCTAAGGTTACTTATGTGACTATCTCATTTCCTCAGGTATCTGCCCAGTGTTTTCTTAGTGAGGCTTTTTCTAGTCTTTGTGTGTGTGTGTGTGTGTGTAAAAAAGCACTATAAGCTGCCTTTCCCTTCGTTCTTTTTCTTTATTCTCTGTCTTCCTTCAAAAAAATGTAAGCTCCATGAACAGGGTGTAGTGTGTCTTGTATACTGCTCCCTTTATCCTCTGGAACAGCACCTGCCACAAAGTAGGTGCTCACTAAATATGTGTTGAATTAATGGATGAGTAGGTATAAAACATGCATGCAAAGATACTTTGTTTTGGAATTCTAGGACTAGAAAAGCACTAAGAATGCTACCACCATCTCCTCCTCAGCCATTCGTTGCTCCTGTACCTCCTATTCTTAGTGTGTTCATTTTTCAGTGCTATTAATAGCTTACATGTTTCCATTTTAGTTGAAAGATTGTCTCTTTCTTGAGCCCAAATTACAATTCCTAAGAATATCTTTTCTTTCATATTTCCTCTGTGTTGGTAATAAACTTTGTTTCAATTTTCCTTTTCTTATATCAGGGAAAAAATTGTTTAGCTATTAATAATAAATTTTAAATAATTGACTTTTATGTTTATGTATGATAACTGAGATTTAAGGAAATTGTAATTATTAATTATAGTAGGCAACAGGGCATATTGATTAAGAATCTGGGCTGTAGAGCTGAGCTGCCTGGTTTAAATCCTAGCCCAGTTACATAACTAGCTTTGTGATGATGGGGAACATACTCAACTCTCTGAAGCATCCTCATCTGAAAAAAATGTGGAGAGAATAATACTATTTATTTTATGTGATTGTTATAAGGATTGAATGAGCTAATATTTGTAACATGCTTAGAACAGTGCCTAACACATAGTATTATATAAATGCTAAATAAATAAACCTCTATATATTTGAAAACCTGTGTTTTCAAATGTTACCAGGTATTTGATATTGTCTGGTTATTTATAATCTCCCCCTGTTACAAATATATATGGAAATATATATACTCTATTATATGTATGTATATATACACAATTTTCATATATATATATTTATAATTAAAATTTGCTAAGTTAATCCTTCTGTCTTTTTGTCTTCTAGAGCTGCTTATCATCCAGAGTTTCCAACAGTTTTGACAGCTTTAGAAATAGATAATGCGGTTGTGGCAAATAGCCTAATTGACATGAGAGGCATAGAGACAGTGCTACTAATCAAAGTAAGACCACCAGATCTTTGCTGTATTTTATGTTATTGTTAAATTTTTAAAACTGAAGATGATTATATAAATTCCAGTTCTCCTTTTATCATAGAGTTGTTGATGTGTTTCACTATTGTACTTTTACCTGATAGGAAAATCGATAGAGTAATATAGAAACTGATTGATTTGTATGTTTTCTGCCCCATGGAACTTTATAACTTTTGGCTGTTCTTCATAAAATCATTTCACAAATGCATATTATTCTTTTGGTGCATGGTGTTATAAAATTTTTTTGTTCATTCTTGTTTAGCTGCCAAATTTATTCTTTATTTGCCCTTACAGATACATATATTATTATCTTTCTACTTAAATGAAGTATTTTGCTTGATATCTTACGAATTCTTTTTCATATAACTTTGTACTCTGTTAGATAAATCAATATTTACTGTTTATCTGTGTAGGTATTTTTATGTGCTTGTTAGATTAGATCACCGTATTTTGTTTCCTCTGTTGGCATAAATTTGCTGAGAAGGGACAAGGTGATTTATATTGTCTTGTTATTTGAAACAAATTTGTAATCAAGACAAACAAAAGTCTTTTTTTCTCATTAACAGAAGCTAAGAACGGTCTAGATAACTCAAATGTGTGTGTGTGTGTGTGTATATATATATACACATATGTTCATATTGTAATTATTTGTGTGTTCTACTCTCTCGTATTTTAGAATAGTACTTGAAAAAATAAATAATAAAGCCCTGTTGTAAAGGTCTGTCCCCAGAGAGGTTGATTAGGCCTTAATTAACCTAATCTTCTTTCACTTCCTCCAGTGCTTAAATATTTCCAGACTTTCCGTACATTTTTCAGTATAGTAATCTTTTATTGGAATTTGCTATTCATTCATATCTTTTCTAGGGTGTAAAAGTCATTTAGAAAAAATAATTAGTATGAACTGGTCTAAAGCCTGTATTTTCACATTAAAAAGCACTTAAAATAGTTTTAACTTTTAAATGGATAATACTCAAATTTAAAAATAAATATACACCAATTTGTCATGAAGCATTGTTTACTAAACTGTTTTAAGACTTTTTAAATAGTTTTAATTCTTCTAACCTTGAAAGTGTTAAAATTCTTATATTTAACTTTATAAAATTATTTGAATGTTTTAAAAAGAATACTTGAATCATATTAAAATAATAAGGACAAGTAACATTTTGAAATTCTGTACATCAGAAAAA